CCTAGGTTTTCAATGTCAAAGTAAACAACTCCGTTCGAAAATTACCTGAATAGTAGTCAAGTCCAGAGTGAATCTATGAAACCTTTAAAAACTTTACTCTTGGAGTTAAAAATCGAACGCAATCCTAAAGTGACGTACAAATTCCAGTTGAAGATAATATCTTGAGTTTAAACTTAAGATCCTTCGGTTAACGTGTCGCTTGACATTTCAATCACCAAGTGATTAAACTGTTTAATCTTTCTCTTAAAGATGATCACTTGGTGATTAGAACACGTGTCGAGGTGTTAAAAATTAACAGTTTCGTGTTGGGAAAGAACTCCAGTAATATTCATTACTACATCAAAGGTTCCAAACAGTGCATCACAAGCAAAGAGTGTGCGTGATAGCATGAAAGATAGGTTCCAAAAAACAATTATTAGAATAGTAATCAGTGATAATCTTAGGGGGTGGTGAGCAGGGTAACCGTCTAGGGCCTCGCCCTCGAATAGGGAAAAGTTAATATTATTATTCGACTGTACGATTAGATAAGATTTCAGGGGGGTGTCGTAAAGGCTACGACTTCGATCTATTAAATATTTTGTGCATGACCCCTAATCTGTTCGAGATCCGGAATTCCGAGACTTCGTATGAAGTTAATCAGTTTCTTGAGAGCTAGTTTCCCACTCATTACCCAGTGTCGAAATTATTTTTTCAAGATGGCTGTAATTTCATGCACTATTGCGCAAACATTCATTTCAGCTAGCCTCAATTGACGTTTCAGTGATATCTATTTCTTTTGAGGTTTGAAATTGCCTTTGGACTTGAACATAATAATAACCTAGCGCCACAAGTGATTGTTTTCCGAATATTGACACTTCTAGTTTAGTATTGTAATTGTGCCAAAAGCGGCACTTTTGGCTTTGGAGTGGCACCAGGCAACGAGCTCATATAGGTAGGTAAACGGAGAAGTAAACAAACCAAAATATCCCCCAAACAATGCAAATTTTTCCTTCGCAAACAACATCACCTATTGTCTGAGAGGTTCGGATTGTTTCGCAAGGATGAGACAAAATAATGTGTTTTAACAGTGGCGGAACGTAGTCTCGTAGCGAGACGGCGAAATAAATGCGTTTCTACCATCTCTTTTCAATCAACATTTGAAGAAGGCAATGGACGTATTTTGTCGCATGCGACATAAGACGTAGTTGGACATTCGAGAAGCAAACGACGTTAATCAAATGAGTTCAGTCGGTGCGAGTTCAGTGGGTGGGAAAATGAAGAAGGCGAGGTTATCGGTAAACAAAATAATTATTAGGATTGCGAAGAATTTGACGTGACTCGACAGTGATTTCGACATGGACTAATTGGACCAATGATAAGAAAGCATAATAAAGGATATAATGAATATATTTCATTGAAACTTCAATCTCGTTCTTGTGGTGGGATGACGAACCCTCGATCCGTAGCGAGTTTCACGTGACTCGAACAGAAATCAACGTCGAGCCAGAAGGAAACCATAGCGTATTTCCTCACAGATCATGACAACTTTCGTATTTAAAATTTACCCTCGTGTTCCTGCATTTTATGTACGAAATTATGAAAACGCGATGGTGGCACTAGCTATGAATATTCTTGACTAGTGCCACCACCGCATTAACGCGTTTTGTAAGTGAATTCAACAGAAATAGGTTTTTTTAATTGAACAATTATTTTCGACAACCAAAATTCAGAATAAATATGCAATACGAAAAAAATATGTTGGCCACCAGTGAAAGTATCATATGCATCTGAGGCAGCGAAGNATTCGTATACTATGCCGAACTCGAAGCTTTCTCGAATTTAGCATTATATGAAGGGGAACCTTTATATAGCTGATTCGTTATCAAAAACAACTCATCAGTATTTTTTCACGCTGGCTGGTCTTCTTTCATTTGCCAAGCTGAGAGTATTTCCTAGGCGTTTACAAATAATGAATAGTACCAACGAAGTTTTGACTTTTCATACCAGCCTTACTCACCATACTATCAAATCCTTAACATTATTTGTTCACACTATACGTGAGTTAAAATTGTTATTAATGTCAATCGGCTGCACTCGTACGGCAACCATCAGGAGTCAGAGCTAGGGAAGACGTAGCCCCTACCTTACCCATGCACTTAATGATGATTGGATTAAGAAGCGAACTCTTTCCCCATGTGCCACCACGATCCATGGATTAGATGTTTCCACATGTTACATTAAATATATGAGGTGGCAACGTTGCCCTTATTAGTCCAGCTAAAGACAAAGTGAGTCCAGCTAGTTACGCATTCATGTAGGTCTACTGAAATATTTTACAGTCAATTTAACCTACACAGTAGGTTAAATTGACTGACGCCTATCAGAAAACAACTACTCCCCTGACTAATACCACGAAGGGCGTTGGATTATATTCGACAGGTGTCAGTACAGGAATCTTCACATGAAATTTCCTGCTACAACTGAAAGAGTCGACTTTCAATTTTGGAACGGGCACACTTGCATATGCAGGAAATTTTCTGTGAAGATTCCTGCACTGACGCCTGTCGGATATAATCCAACGCCCCTCATGGTATGAGCCAGGGGAGTAGTTATTTTCTGATAGGCGTTATTCCATTTAACGTACTGTGTAGGTATATTTGAGACTGGCTTGAACGTTTAAAGTTCATTTCTTTAGATTTGTTTATTGCCAGTCTTCAAGCATTGCCCACTGACTAATAAGAAAGTTTTCCTTCCTTATTCAGATGGATCGGGCAAATTACGGATAAGCAGTTGGTTAGTACCTTATCCACTAGATAGAGTGACATTTTGTTGTTTCGCTCCAACTCAGGAAGAGGAGTGAAATACTCTGAACGAATTCCGATTTTCAATTATGTAATATCATTGACTTTAGGTCGATGATGGTCACTATCTTGCACTGATGCCAGATAGTGACCATCATGATGAGTGGCTAATGAGCTCAAAACCGGTCTGCAAGTGTGCTCGTTCCAAAATTGAAGGTCGACTCTTTTAGTTGTATTGCTAATTGCATTTGCAGAAAATTTTCTGTAAAGATTCCTACACTGACGCCTGTCGGATATATTCCAACGCCCTTCGTGGTATTAGCCAGGGGAGTAGTTGTTTTCTGATAGGCGTCAGTCCATTCAACCTACTGTGTAGGTATATTCGAGACTGGCTTGAACGTTTAAAGTTCATTTCTTTAGATAAGAAAAATTATTGTGACCTGTCTATCGAAAACAGTTTCCCAACACCAACATCAACGAGAACAAAATCGCTTCCAGTTCGCCAGCCAACTGTTTCCATCGGCAACATGAGGGTACGGCAATGGGAAACCCGTTGTCTCCGTTCATGGCTGATCTGTTCATGAGCATATTTGAAATCGAAGCAAGGAAAGACTTAAAATACTTTCCGCAAACCTGGATCCAATACGTGGATGATGTATTTGCCTCAAAAACAGATTTGCAAGTATAAAATTCACGTATGGAATTGAAAGTAGCGAAGAGCTACCGTTCTTGGATGTTCTAGTCATTAAAAATATTGATAAGGGTCTAGAGTTTGATGTATATAGAAATAATTCGAGCTCTTTCAGGTATATCCCTGACAGCTCCCATCATTGCTCACAACAAAAATGGCAGGACTACAATTTCTTGTCTATAGACTGCTCATTTCCCTTGAGCAAAGAAAGTTATGAGCTCGAGAAAAAAGTTGTTATGGAGGTGGCCGAAAGCAACGGTTATCCATCAAACATAGTGGATAAATTGATTATAAAACAAAAATAAGGGAGTATTTTCGTAATGCGAGAAGATTCAGAATTCATAGTGCTTCCATATGAATCCAAATACACCAATGGATTGGTCCGAACATTAAAAAAAGCTAACATAAGAGTGGCTATCAAAACTGCACGTATACTTCAACAAGTGTTGGGCAGTTCGAAAGACAAGACGTTGAAAACAGAAAAGTTTGGGATCTACGAAATAAGCTGCGAGGATATTGATGAAGAATATGTTGGTCAAACCAAACGGACTGTATTAGGTCGCTACAAGGTTCCTCACGTTCGGATTCTTAGAACGGAGAAATCTAGTGTCGCTCAACATGCTATGAAGAACGACCATAGAATAAGTGAGAAATGTTTTAAATTGTTGGGATCGGTATATGACAAAAGGTTTCTGGATGTCTTCGAAAGCTTGGAAATCGAAAAGTGCGACAAAGGTNCGGAATGACTTTAATGAATAGCGACAAAGGTCCTATTTTGAACAGCTCGTTTTTTAGTCTTATTCGTGATGATTCTGAATTGAAAATAGATGAATATAAGAGATAATCACTAAACAAAGAAAATACATAACAAATCAGAGTTATCAAAAATAAGTTGCTTCAGCATAGGATCATTAACAGGTAGTACGTAATAAAAACCGGTAGAGTTAGGTGATACTAACTACTAACAAGTAGTAATTAGGTCACTGGCATATATAAATACTAACATAGTAGTAAAATTTAGTTATGATGATCTCCTGAGGACGCTAACTTGGTTAGCGAAACGCACGTCGAGAGCCAGTAATTGTTCTGGTTTAGGGAAAGTGTTTTCAATAGATTCAATGATAAGTTGGAAACCTTTCAAGATCAGCGATTGGTTTTTTATCGATGGGTGATTCATTTGAATTGAATTCATGCTCCAGAACCCACCAAGGGTCTCCAATTTAACATCCGAGATTATCATGTTACATAGTTCGTAGAGCTCAGGTTCACTATAGGAACAACACTCATTCTGGCTGATTTGGGTTGGAATAACAAATATCCAAAAATATTCTTTTTGTAAAACAATTATAATAGAACCAGGTGAAAGGAATTTTTTCGTGAAATAATCAAAGTTTTTTTGGCATTTTGACCTTCTACAGTCCGAATAATAATTATTGCCTGAACCAAAATACTCGAACTGTTAGCTAATTTAGAATTATAATGCTTTCGATTACTGATATCCAATCATTTACATATATAATATCTTTTTGTAGCCTATTCTCAGACAAGTATTCAAAGGAGCAATCCGTTCGAGTGGTTTTATGGAGTCATTTTGTACAAAATTTCCTTTCCAAATCTACATTTGTGAAACAGTCAAAATGGTATTCTTTGGAGATCGATATGCGCAGATTGATACGGTGAGTATTATCACACCTTAATTAATTTTGTTGCAACGCTTCTTTCAAAAACAAATTACGACAGTTAGATTTCTAATTTTGTAAACTAATCAAATTGAGTATCTGGGATGGATATTAACATGGGAAAACGGCTAAGGTCAATTCTGGCGTTTTTTGAACCTCAGGCTCAGTTCACACGGAAGAGACAAAGGTTCTCGCTTCGTCTCTGCAGACGTCCATTCTGTGGGAATTGGGCTCCAGATTTCCAGAGCCCATTTTTGCCGTTATTCAGTCAACCAATCAGCTATCGCGCATACAACGGAAAATTCAAACCACCAGTAGATGAACAAAGCGGTTCCGAGCCCAAAATCCCATGTATTTTCTTATGGACCTGAACTTTTTGCAATTAATGGTTCAAACAGGAGTAGGGAAAACGTGTGACGTCATCGACGCAGGATGGAATGAGTATCGTAGCGATTCAAGCGTGGAACTCCGGCCCTTAGCCCCCTTAGTACTCCGCCTCACCCCTGAGCCGTAACGTTCCAGTCACGTGATCTTAATTGAAAAAAGTTTATAGTTATGAGAATCGAACCAGGGTCATCCGCGTGGTAGACGTTGTTCTTAGCCTCGACACCGACGTAAGATATTGGATATGATTACGAATGGTGAGTATTTATAGCATGCGATCACTCAATATGTACAGTGTGTCTCAAAAAATCATTAAAGAAAAAAACATAGCGTCGAAGTGTACAGGGTACGTCAAAATACATCACTTGAGAAAAAATAATTATGTCGGTTCAACAGAAGTCTAGCGTTCCAACATGTCAGAAGGACACTATGTTGATCAAATTGTCATCACCAGGAGAAGGAGGAGATGGCATCAAAGATGTCGAAGAGTTACGTATTGTGTAGTTAACTTTCGAAAATGGGGAAAGCGAAGTATTCGACACTTTTGCATGCGTTTCGACCGTTTCACATGCGTTTCGACCGTTTTGTGTGCATTTCGACCGGTTTGCGTGCGTTTATTTGTTATTGGTTTATCGTCATAGTAGCCGTTTTCATGCTTTGTCGTATGAACGTTCATTTTGTGAATTTTTCAGACTTCTGAACGGACTTTGTGGAACACTCAGCCTAACTTCTGTTACAGAGTTGCGTCGGTTAGCCAATCAGAATGGAGGAATCAAATATCGGTCGGTTGATTTTGTTAGATGGAATTGAATTGGAGGATGTCGGTCGAATAATAATAGTGATGAAACATTAAAACTTTGAAAGTGACGTGGTTAGCGTGGGAGGTGGTGGCGTGTGTGATGATTGGTTGAAATGAATGAGTTATTACAGAAATGAAATGGCGCAAAATGTCAGGAAGGCACTAAGCCACATCTTTGTTGAAGATAGTTGAATGTCAAGGTGCAGCATATCAAATGAAAGGGAAACGAATGCAGAAGTCATCGACAGAGAAAAAACAAATACGGCGTAACAAGTCAGAAGGGCACTAAGCCACAATTCCGTTAATGATAGTTGGATCTCAACGTGCAGCACATCAAATGAAAGGGAAATGAATGCAAAATTCATCGACAGAGGAAAACAAAGATGGCGGAACATTTCAGAAGGGCACTAAGTCACATCTTCGTTAATAATGGTTGAATTTCAATGTGCATGACGTCAAATGGAAGGAAAAGAAATGCTGAATTCGTCAAGAAAGAAGAAACGAAGATGATGCCAAAAGGACACTGAGTTGTATCTTCGTTGATAACAGTCACATCATCGCGTGTAGCACCTCAAATGGAAGGGAAACTAATGCACAATACATCGACAATGAAAAAACGAAGATGACTGCAACATGTCAGAGAGGCACTAAGTTGTATATTCGCTGATAATGATCAGATCATCACGCACAACACGTCAAGTGAAAGTGAAATGTATGTTTAGTTCATCGACAAAGAAAAAACAAAGATGATGCCAACGGGACACTAAGCCGCATCATCGGTAATAATGTTTGGATCTCAACGTGCAGCACGTCAGATGAAAGGAAAAGGGGTATAGAATTCATATAAGAAACTCAGAGATAACGTCATGTCAAAAGGGTACTAGTTCACATCTTCGCATACAGAATATGGTGTAAATAAAGCACATGAAAGGGACATGGACGTTGAAAATGATAAAGAAGCGTCATGGTGACATGTCAAATAGGCATAAGATGTGATGAAATGTTCTTCGTATATTGGTGGTATGGAACTGAGATGTATTTATCTTGGTTTTTGTCCTTTCTGAAAGTCGAGATTTCGTTCATTCTTAACCTAAACTTCTTTTTCTTTATTATGTCATCTATATTGCCCTTCGGGAAACTGTTAGTGGCTGCTATTTCCTGTATTGTACGTTTTTCTTTTGCGAACCTATCATGTGTTACAGGGAAAGTCAAAAGACGATGCACGTAAAAATTCAACCCAGCACGCTTGTGCTGTCCACAGTAATGTGAACTGTCAGGAATATACCTGTACGTGCTTGTTTCTTTCTTAAATATATCATATTGTAATCCTCTATATTGAGAACCATATGTACAGTTGTAGAGATCTGGAGAAAAAATATAAAATTTTATTATCCACCTTCGATATATCTTTACGTTTTATGCAAAAATGAACACATTCGGTGATGAAAAAAATCATCGTTCACTGAAACATACGACATATTTGGATTCCTCATGGTGGAATGGTTTCGAATTCGTTAAAGACAGGTCACTTCCGATTTTCACTTCCGATGATTTTGGCATCAATGAATTCGTTTAAATGTTGAGATACATAATTAATAATTTTTCAAAGCCAAAAAGACCTCATTACCTATTTCCGTTATATTGGCTGCAACAGGCCGAAGTGGGTACTCATTTCAAAATAAAACATATAATATCGAGCGTTTAAAGTGGAATAACAAAGGGAGAATTGTAAATACGAAAGAAAATCATTGAAAAAACTTGAAATTCATTGTTGTTAGGTTACCAACAACTATAAGTTAAAATTCAATAGCAGCAGTTTGAATCGTAATCAAACCAGAAGGGACCTTAAAATTTTGGAGGCGCGGAATTCAAATTCACACGACACGTTCTCACTATCACACTGTCACAACTAAACTGGCTAGGTTGGCGTGAAGTTATGTGTAGTTGATGGTGGAGTGAAGACCAAAAGTAAATAATAAACTATTTCGAGCCTGAAGTGAATGAGCAAAATGTCCGATAAAATACATGACTGCAATCGATCTGTCATTGATTATCTGACACGTTCAAAAATACCAATTGCATCCATCAATTATTCGGTTCCTTAAGTCATCCACATCTAGTGAAGGAGTTTTATAAACAAGAGCTTTCAGATGTCAGATGTCAATATAATAAAAAAATGGCGTAGTGTACTATGAAGCGGTCATTTCTCTCATGAAGATCGCATAAAAAATTTCATGAAAATATAACGCACTGAAACGATTATCTTGGTCATTCCAACCGCAGCAAAAAACACGCATTTTTGAAACCACATTTTCTCCAACAACCCATATGATGTGTCATGTAACATTATGTGTAAGTTTGAAGAAACAATCGTTCACAGTGGAACAATTGAAATTGAATCAATAAAAAAATCTCTGTAAAGAACCGAAATTTTTCCATTCACGATATTGAGAAAAATAAAAAATCAGTTTACTTTGGTTGAATCCTGAAGATTCGTAACAGGAGCAAAATTTTACCTTTTGAATAGATGAAAATTGCTTGTAGGCTGTAATTAACATCATGTTAGTTATGAGTAAGGGGTGAGTAGAATCTGAAAGGAAGATGAGTTTGGAGTTCCTAATGTAGGAAGGTATCATTCATAAAATCAAAAACAATATACAAGAGAATATTCATTCGTATCTAATAATTCCATTGATACGTTAACATTTACATTTTTCGAGTATCGAGACATTCTGCCACTATCAAAGGTTTTTGAGTCTCTGAACCTAAAATCTATCAATAATATGAAGTAGTTAGTTGAACTTTCAGATACCTAGGGAGCTTATTGAAAATAGTAAGACTTACCACTGATGAACACTTAAATATTGTTCTATATTGATGAAACGGAACATGGAGATCACGTTTTTGTCTATATTGTTCACATAATGAATACTTTCTGGATCCTAATTTTTAAAAATTGGGACAACTTTGCCGACTTTCAATATATCCGGAAATGATCCAGTTAGAAATGATAAGTTGACAAGGAAGGTGAGTGGCGTTATAATGAAGGGAAGAGATTTCTTGATGAGAAATAACGGAACTTCATCTGGGCCAGATGATTATTTTTTTTTTGATTTTGTTGCTAAGTAAAAAAAGTAATTCCTCAGGTATAAGAGGCTCTCAGAAAATGGAATGCGGATTCGTATTTATAGGACGATGGTATAGTCCATCAACTACTTTTATTTTGCTAATAATTTCTGAAGGAAAATCATTGGAAAATTAATTGAATAAATTTGATAAATCACCTGGGTTATCTTGTAAAGTGCAGTCTTTCCTTATTTGAATGTTTATTGCGTCTCCCTTCCTATTTGAAAGTTCGGATATTACTTTCCATGCTTTTCTATTAGGATTAGGGGAATCTGTAATTCGGTTCTGATAAAATATTTTTTTTGAGATTCTCAACAATATAACATGTTTCTTTTTAGCCTTCTTGTAAGCGCCTTCAAGGGTTTCAGGATACCTATTTCCCAAATTTCTACCCGATAATTTCACTGTATCGGTTACCCAATTCTTGTCGTGTGAATTACCATTCTCCCGAAATTTTTTCATAGGATAAAATATAATAAAGTTATGGAAAAATGCAGCACAAAAGTATTGAAATCCTTTATCAACTGTACAAGCTTCGATAACATCTTTCCATGATTCGCATTTGAGTGCTTCACAAAAGTATTCAACATACTGTTTATTGAAACTTCTCGTTTGGAAAGTTTTCGAAAAAGGCAATTTCATTTCAGATATCTAAAGAAGTACCGTTTCATGGTCTGAAATATCATTG